GCTATTAGATGAGAATATAAATTGTTTCTTTAGCTTGATATTTGATTATATATAGTCCTTAGAAGAGTCTTTATTTTTTTTTAACCTCATATTATCACCTCATATCGTCAATATGTAGTTGGAGAAATCTACCTTTTTTCTATCACAGATCAGAAGAATTCCAGTCATCAAATTACTTCGATAAATTTAAGGTACTTTTGCTTAGAAGTGGACTCAAATGCTTCCCTGCTGAGAGTCAAACACATTTTCAACCCCATTATAATAGCATTTTCACTGACTGAGTTTCAGCAGTTTGGCACTGAGGCACTAAGGAAGGTTGACCTACAAACTGTAAGTCATTAAAATCTTTACCCCTCCTGGCTAGTGTGTTCATTGCTTTTGGGGCTGGTTAATAGCACTTAATGCTTCCTGATGGGAGAGCCCTTTTCATAAAATTGTTTTTATGAATTCCATTCTTCAGTTGTGTTCTAATGGTGCCACTTCTGCTGGTTATTTTGGGGTGAGGATATTAAAAAGTTGGTAGCAAAATAAATTCTGTAGTTAATACATATTCCTAACCATCTGATTTCTCAGCTGGGCTGAAGTAGCATTTTTTTTGCTGAACTCAAATGTAGGGTGACATGATCTTGTTGATTATTTTACCTCTAATCTTAATCTTTAATATTACTACCTGGAAATAGAAGGCATGTTTTCAGATACTCTGATTTTCAGACTGACCCAAATCAATTTTTTGGGATGGATATAATTCTGTTTACATGTAAACTCTACTGTTAGACCTCACTTGATCATAAGACCTTACAATGCCACTCTTAGTTCCATATTTCTCAGGCTTAGTTTCCATCATGTCTTATCCTCTTCTTGAGAGAACTCCAAATCATTGCCCTACCTTCTACTAATTGCTTCTTCAAGCTTTTTTCAAGTTTTGCTTTACTCTAGACATTTTATGCTTCATGATTTTATTAAGGAGACAATGCAAGGCAAACATAGCAAAACAATTAAATTACTTCAGGCTTTTCATTCTAACACATCCTTTGTGTTGCAGATCCTTTGAAAATGGTAGAAATCACTGTCTTGTCTTAGTGTCTCCCATGAATGCTGAGTCTCCATTATGTGTTCTGGATTTGGTAAACACTTGCGGGCTAAGTGACTCTTCCTGCTATCTCTATCTTCTAGCTTTTTCTCCTCTTTCATAAGAGAAAGCTTTCTTTCTCATAAAAATTTAATATTTTTTTTGTTAAATATTTTCTATTTTACTCATTTATTGATGGGGACTCTGCTTTTCCAGTGACATTTCTTTGTAGAGAACCATTCACTGTCAAAGATTTAAGGTCAGTGGTCCTTGTAATTCTTTCCAAGGTGTGACCACCATGAAGATTAAAGAGTATTTAGGATAAATGCTCAATTATTGCAAAATATATATTTTAAAATGTCTGTGTGAAAGCTGTATTGAGTGGTAAAATTCAAAGGGAAAAAATGCTCACAAAACACTTTAGGCATTCATGCTTTCACAGAGGTTTATCCTCAGTGTCTCCCATACAAGTTTTGCACAATTCCAATTAGTTTTCATCAGACCTATATTTACTCATTTCTTCTGAAAATCAAGAGATAGGTCCATTCTTCACACACATGTATAAGGTCTGTGGCTATATGGAGGAATCGGTGAGTTAATTTCAAACAGTACATTTTACAGCAGAAAGACTGTCTAGGACCCTGCGTGTTTCACTGAAAGAAGACTACTGAACTGCTTTAAATATTGCTAAACATAGATGTTAATTACAAAGAACTAATTGCTGAAACAGACCTTAGAGCAGGAGTTTCCAGACCATGTCCAGCCCACAACATTGTTAGGTACCTTACATTGCTTGAGCTTAGACTTTTTTGAATTGGTTTGGTTTTATTTGCTGCTGCTTCCGTTTTTCTTGTGAGAGTGTGGTTTTTATCAATATGTAGACAACTCCAGATGCACATGTAAGTGAAGAAGTTGTCCAAACTGCTCAAAGGTTGTCAACTTCATTCATTTTTTGTCAATGGCTTTTAGGTCAGAGAAATTTCTCTTCATCTTGGTAGTTTAAGAGTGTCCCTAAAGACTACAGTTTTTTAAAGCTAGCTACAGAATACCAACCTTCAGGTTTATCATTTAAGATATCCACCATTTCAGGTATCAGTTTTTCCTGGCGAGACTCTCAAGTCCATTTTTCCCCATTTGCTTAAGCAAACTCTTCTCAACATTGTTTTGTTGGGTTTTTTCCTTTTTATTTTTTTATTTGCATGATTTTAAAAAAAGGCACAAATTAACTCCAAAATTGTTGGAGAAACTTACATCTAGAAATGACCATCTAGCAGGTGGAAAGGAGTCATTTTTTTCTAATGCAGGCAGACTGCATCTAAACATTACTCTGATAACAAAGATCATCGTACTGGATTAGATGAGTTCTCCATCTAGTCCAATACCCTGTATTTGGAAAGGAGCAAAACCTGCATTGTAAAGGTTGTAAGACTGGAGCTAGTGTGTAGGTATGTAGTTCTTGGAACATTCTGTTAGCTTTGTACAATTTGGAGTGTTTTTGTAAACCAGAGGTGATGTCTTTATACTGTTTCTCTGCAGTGAAACTGTTTGTTCATCCTTTTCAATCACATAAACTTTTAACATCCATAACATCCAGTGGCAGAAAGTTCCATGGTGGCGTAATTAGAGGTTGTGTGAAGAGCCACCTTTTCCCATATTTTCCCCTTTATTCATGATGGTGGAGCTTTGTCATAGCTCCCACACTCACTTCTTTTCCGTGCTGAAGAGTACTAGTCCGCTTCATTGTTTCTCTTACAGAAGTAACAGACATGATAATAGTTACGATAAGTGACAGTTTAAAATGCATGTTGTGCGCATCACCTAATTTAAGCGTCTCCAGCATGTGGCATTCACAAATACATCCTCTAAGGGACAGAAGTGAACATTGACGCCATGATGTCCAACCCTCATGTTTTTCTCATGTATTGCTAATTTCCATCTATGAAATTTTATTACAGCATTGCACCTTTTATTTGTCTGTTAGTATGGTGAGACAGTCCACTCTATCAGAGGAACTATGGCACAACCTGTAGATCTTTTTACTATAATGTTTGCTTATATCTTCAGTCCGCTGAAAATTCTCTTTTACGTTTTCATATGCACATTGTACTAATTTGTATGCGAGACTGTTTACTTGGAAAGGAAAAGGACAAAAGTTACATGGTCTGAGCAGTAGGTCATGATTCTAGCACTGCTGTATTTATACTGTTCAATGTTGTTGCATATGCAAAAGTACTTACAGCATCTGAATTTCCGAGTGTATGATATATATGTTCATTTTTCCCCCCCCAAAAATGCTTTCCACAACTCAATTTCTTTAAGCCTTCTTAAATGCAATTAATTGCAAAGTTATCAACAGTATATTGAGTTCTGTAAGTTCATCATTCCGATTTTGGCACATATTCTTTTTACAGAACAAGGAATAAAAATATGCTATTTGCACTTTTTAAAAGACAGTTTTAATTTAATTGTGTTGCCATAAGGTTGTTTTATGTTGTATCACAGACATGTAAATCTTTGCAGAATTACTGTATAACCTTTTGTCAGTGAGAAGGAGTTAGTAAAGCCCAAAAGCCACAGTAGTAAGGCAATAATGGAGAAGTCACCATAATGACAGTATTTTTCTTCGTGCGTTCAGCCAGTGACGTCTACAAGTTGCGAATTTTTCATTTTCTTTTTCAAATTGAAGGCATCTTTTAAAACTTAATGCTAAAACAGATGAAAGACAAGTGTGGATTGAAATCAATTCGTATTTCAGACTTGAAAAACTTACTGGTTTATACATCATTACTTCCATTTGCTTGCTTCTTCTTAGGGCTTTGCTAAGCAATATTTATTTCTTTTATCTCTTTATTTACATACTGAAAAAAATTCAAGACAGTGAAGCACAGCTGAAGTAACCTGAGTGCCAACAGAGCTGGATTTGTTTTTCTCTGTCTCACTGATGAATTCGTTCTAAAAATACCTGTTCTAACATTGGCCAGCAATATATGTACAAAGGAGAAATGAATTCATGAAGTATTGGTTAAAAAACTGGCAGAGAAAGTAAAGTGGAAAGTTTTTTTTTATTTTTCAATTAAAAAGTTTATGAAGAGAGAAGTTTTACAGACATTTTACAGAAAAAAACCTCTAAGTAGTACTGTATTACTGTTCAATTTCTGATTAAAATATTTTAAGTCTCACATGGAATGATCATTAATGTTTACACTTAGTTGCAATGACAATATAAAAATGTCTGAATTAATTTCTTTTTTATATGTCTAAATTGTTTCTATTGGGTCTCAATATTATCTGAATTCGTATAGATATTTCCAAACTATGCAACTCTTGCCTTTGAAGAAATAACGGGTACTGTTATGAACAAGGTACACCCCCCCAAAATCTGAGAAAACTCTTGCTTTGTCTGTCTTTCCCTTGGCACATAATAAAGACCCAGTTAATAATCAGCTTTTGAACAAAAGTAAAGTTCTGTTAGATCGGTAAAATCACTGGATAATTTAGATCACTGGATCTGGTCACCTGGTCTAACGTCTCATCCCCACTCAAAGCAGGGCTGACTTTTGAAGATAGATCCAATAATGTGATGGAAATGTCTCTGGCATTATGAATTTGAGCCTGAACTGGGTGACTTGGACCTCAAAAGTCTCCTGTTAGCAGTGTTGGCTAAAACAGCCAACATGATTTTTAAGAGTGTCTTCTAAGAGAATCAGAGCCACCTATGATATTGTTATCTAAATTCCCAGTTTGCTCTCTCCTGCTGGCATGCAAAGATTTTGTGTAAGAAGATGAGGCCTCTGGTTAAAGGACTAGTAATCCCTCATCCAGTTACAGGCGAGCTTTAATATAAGCACAAACGTGCTGCTACATTACCTGTGTTTTAAAACACGAGATTGATCTGAATAGTTTACATTCATTCCTCTTTTTTTCTTCACAGTGCCAGGATTTCCCTACCCTGCTGCAACTGCAGCTGCTGCTTACAGAGGTGCACACCTAAGAGGCCGAGGTCGCACGGTGTATAACACGTTTCGTGCAGCAGCCCCCCCTCCTCCGATTCCAGCCTACGGCGGGTAAGAGATCGGCCTCTTTTGCCTATTAGCATGAATCTCCGAAGGCTACAAACTGTTTGTGGCTGCGGTGCATGCTGATCATGTCTCACCGCAGAAACCACCGCAGCATGCAACCAATCCCAGTGCTGGAAGTGGCGCACCTTGCACGGAGTATTGAAAAATGACTGTAATTTGTACTGCCATGGTTGGTGGCCTTAAGCATTTCAGATGTCACATATTGTTATGTAAATGTTCTTAGAAACGGAATGCTTTGGAACAGAGAAATTGTTTCAGCTAAAGATATGTTTTTGATGATTTAAAACATCTGATTATTAAGGAGGTTGGATCAAGTTAACTTCTTTTTCTTCAAATGATCCACTGGAAGTTGTCTCTGGTCCTGAAGGCTTAGTGGTGTTTTTTGGGTTTTTTTTTTTGTTGTTGTTTTTTGTTTTTTAATTTTATTGCAGTTTGTTTAGTTTTTCTAGTTGACATCTTTACTACAATAGAAATTTGGGGTGCTTCTCTCAGGGCCATGTGTTTTTCAGTACATTTGCTTAAATAATACCTTAGGATTTCACTGTCCGTGACTTACATTTACTAAAACCAAGTAGAAGACTGAGGAACAAAGGAGAGAAATTCATAGTAATAGTTTCTAGAATCTCAATATTCTTTTGTTAATTCAGAAGATACATATAAATTTTCGAGGCATATGTTTGAGGAAAAGAAGGAGGAAACAAATTCTCCATGTAGCTGTGTAAATGCTGACACAGAAAGGTTTTGTATGCTGCATATGATATTTAAAAATCCTAACATTGTCAAAAGATTTTCAGCTATTAAGAAATTGGGAAGTTTGGAAAATCAGAAAACTTGGCAGATCCCAGGCCAGAATAGTATTTTGTCATAAAAATCTGTGGTAGGTACGCCACTACCTCTCTGTAGAGCAACCAGCTCTTTCTGAGAAAGGGTCAGGAAGGGCTTGCAAAGTTTTGGATGAAGGTGATCTCTCTCTCCGCCCTCACTAAAGTCCTGTTCCACAGCTCCTCTGCTCTCACGTGGATATCCCCTTGTGAGGGAGCTTGCAGCACAAGATTGTGCTACGACCCTGTCCTACTTCTTTATGGTAGAAGATGGGTGCCCTTCTCTAGATCCCTCAGTTTCCATGAAGCCTTTGTTCTATTAAGCCAAAGATGTGTCTTTGTCTAGACCGGTTTGCAAATCTTGTCGGTCAGCCATTGAACTAAATTTTTGGGGATATTTAGGACAGGCACTTTGACTATTCCTTCACATTGGGCAGTTATCACCTCAGAGAAATAAGATGTTCTAAAAATGAACATAAAAATGATGACACAAAATCTGGTTGTTTTGTAAAAGTGTATTTTTTTCTTAATTTAGGTGTTTTGTGTAGTTTAATAAGCAAAATAATATTAATTTAATAAGCAAAACAATATTACCACTACTGGAGAAAGACACCATGATTTTTGAAGATTGCCTGAGTTACCTTTGGACAAGGATGGTGTCCCACCAAAGTTATCCTACTGTTGCCCAGACTCTCCTTTAGAATCAGTCCAGGTATTTGTACGTGGCAGATGGTAACAAGTTTAGAATGCCCTACAAGAGCCAATTTCACTATGAATGTCTCAGCTACGGAACGGATAGTGCGTATAAAGAAAGTAGACTCCTTCCATTTCTACTTAGTTTAAAAAGAAATTCTTAAATTTAAACACAGTGTACAACATGTAGTGAGATAACAACATGGGTTATTACAAGTTTCATCATGTCACGAACATAATACCTTAGTTTAATACAAAGTCATAAAGTAATATAAGAAAATATATACCAGCTGTGTGTGATACAGTTTTTGAATTGGACAATACTTTTTTTGTCAGTATATACAAAATGAGTAAATACTTTCAGACCAGTAACTAACTTAAATTTGCTTTAATTTAAGGGGCCATATACGGGTGCTCTGTGTGTGTGTGTTATATAAATTTTTATAGTTTAGTTAGTACAGTGGCTCAGCAGGACAAATTAAATTTCCAAGTGTAACACATATGTATTCTCATGTAATTGTACTGCTTACTTTCAGCATCTTTAGGTAGTAAGTTACATGTATAAGTGTTGTGAACTCCTGTTGTAAGTTAATACAGAAGTTTTGCACTGCAGTCAGGTAGGTTTCCAAGAGGTCAGCTCAGCACTCTTACGTTCTTCTGCAGGATGGTTTGACAGTTAGCTTGGACAGATCTCACCTACTACCTTCATGACCTGTCTTTAAAGCTGACTTCAGAGGGAGCCATGCATTGCATCAGTAAGAACTCCCATCTTCTCATTGTTCTGATGACTTCCAGCTGTCTGAGATGAACCCTTAGTAATCCGGGGCTCACCTTGCCAGTCAGTATGTGTTCTAACACAGTTTGACTCTGCAAAAGTTTGCAATTGGTAAGCTTTGTCTTAATTTAGTTAGGTCTTAATTCAGATATTAGTCAGGTTTAATTTTCTCCATCCACCTCTGCTTTATAATAAGGCACTGCTTTCTGATGCACAAAACACATTTCCAACTCTTATAATTCATGGATCAGTGCAGAAATAATGCATACCTCCGTGGCACTGATCCACAGTTGGATTAATAAAGCTTTATTCTGAAATAATTTCTTTGGCCTAGTATATTAGATCTTGTGCTAGTAACTTCACTGATACAACAGTACAATTTGGAATTACTTTGCAATGCTTTGTTCTGTGCTCACCCATTGTGTACTCTGACCTATCAAAGAAACAAAAAGGAATTTTCATCAGAAAAAATCCTTAATCAATGAGAATAAATAAGAATGTGGTTTTCAGTCACTACGGGAGTAGGAGTCAAAGAAAATTACAGAGATAATAAAGAGATCACAGAGAATGAATCAACTTACAGAAGAAAGCAAACAACTTGGAATATCATTTGTTGATAAGAAAAATGGAAAAAGCTTTGAATGCTATTTTGCAATTCATTTAGGAGCAATTTCTCATTTTCCACTCAAGGAAGGAGCCCAGCCTTAGAGCCAAACAAACAGTTTCATACTAAAATATTTTCAATCATTAAAAAAAAAAGACAATTATTTTATATAATGACAGATATAACTTTAATTATAAATTTACATTAAATTCCAGCAACAGTTAGTTAGAAAAATACTACTTTTCTTTTTAAAAAAGAACCCACATGCAAGTGTAAAATATAAAGCTGGTTTGAAAAGACTTTTTAAATTTTCTTTTATTTCATTGACCTTAGAAAGCTTGTAACTGAAATAAAATATAATACTTGACCTGAAATATTCTTCTTCACACTTACTTGTTTATATTACAAAGTTTTGGAATGGAAACTGAATCATTTTGCCTTAAATCTGGAAATCCACTGTAAAGCTAAGAACATGTATTTCTTAGACTAGTCTGACATGCTGCTTACTAGTGTATATCTCAGCAGCACCCAGGATTCCCTGCTCTATTACAAAGCCTTCTTTCTGTTCAGTCTGCCTTGAATCTGTAGTTGTTCTTGTTCACTGGTGTCCTGTTTGATACCGCCTGTGACCTTTTCTTAGAAACTGTTTATCAACAAAGTTAAGAGATAGCAACGTGTCCCAGGCTGTAAGGAAATCTAGAGGATCTTGTGGTCATTAGCCAAAACAAGTTAGTGTGATTCACATGGGAAGCTCTCTTCTGCTGTGCCTCACGGTTACTGGAAACAGCAAATATGGCACACTTTGCTAGGTCTGAGGAAAATTGGTGAATATAGCCGTATTTAAGGCCATTGTTTTCTTATAAATCAAAACAGCACACATGCTTTAAAATGTGTCATTTAAAAGTTAAATCAGTGTTCATGAGAGATGTAGCACTACATAAATAATTAATGGATCCTTTTCTTGTGAGGGAGGCATTTCACTAATTCCTTGAGATAGTATCTTGTTTATTAGCTCATGGAAAATACTTCATTTTTAGCATCTGTGGCATCATTTCTAATGCCTTGAAATACTACAATGTGCAGATTAGTCATAACTTTATATGTATAATTCCTTTATGTACCATAAAAACCTACTGAAACGAGGGAGTAAAGCTTCATTTATGTGAGAAAACTGAATACTGAAATTTAGAGTTTGGAGATCTACATTGCATGGAGAGCTTAGCTTCAACACTATGCTGCAGGGGGAAGGGAAGCAAGAGATGGTCGCGTTGTGTATGGCATGAGAGCTGCACGGAGATCAGAGCCTGTCAGTAGGGGAGGATGTGGCTGTGCAGCTATGAGCTATGGCCTGCTTATCTCAGGGGGCTCTCGGGGAACTTCACAGCAAAATTGGTAACTTGGTTGAGGAGCAAAGCAGTTACTCTTTTAAGCTGATTCCTTTCATACCTTCTTTCTGGGGACAGCTTCCATGTGGGAGGATTTGCACTTACTGCTTCTTTGACCTTTCTTGCAGGCTTCTCTCTGGGTACTAGATAGTGTGTTGTACAAAATAATTTTTAAATGATTAAAAAAAAAAAGTCATCAGTGTGAAAAACAATGTTGTCTTGGCTTGACCTGTGTCTTTCTAGGATTATCTATTTTATTGACAAAGGGCCTACTAATGGTGTAAGAAATACACCTAATAAAATACACCTAATAAAGCAGAAGCTACTAGTAAAGGTACTCTTATGACAGATTTTGGATGCAGTTGGCAGTACTTACATTGCCAAAAGAAAAGAGAAAGAAGCAGTTTTTGTTCTCTTTGGCAAACTACCGAAAGCAGGTGATCTGATTTTGATAGCTGTAATTGCTTTTGAACTCTGCAGCAACTAGTAGCTCAGCATTCTTGAAAATCATTAGCCAAATAGTAAAATATCATGAGTATGATGCTCCATCTTTATACTGCTGTTAAGAAAAGTCAGTGTCACTGTATATCTGGTAGTATAGCAGATACTAGTAGTAGATAGCAGTATTAGTAAAACTAATAAGAAGCCCTTCTATTCCAGCATCATTTGCCTGAAGTTCTTCACAAGTTTAGTGTGTGATGACTTTGTCTTCGCATTTCCCCTCCACTCCTTCAAGTTCTGGTGAAGCTAACAGAGAACGAGCTTTCAGCCCATCTCTCCACTTGCGGTGTCTTTCCTGGGAAAACAGGGGATAGCAATATGCTTTTTTCTCTTTGAAAAGAAGGATAAAAAAACCCCCAACCCTAGATTGTGAAGTTGGGGAGGGTGGAGGAGAAGTAACAGAGACTATTTAGAAACTGTTCCCCTTTGTTAAAATAATTGTTTTGAAGTGCTACATTCTAACTGATTCAAAATGAAAAAGAAGCTTTATTTTCCAACACCCTATTCAGAATTTAAGAAAGAAGGCTAATTAATATAAGCTACTACATCTACTACAGTGGTTATGGTTTTTTCCAATACATTTCTTGGGGCTCACAGAAACTTCCTCTTACTTTGGACTCTGTGCTTTGTATATATGTGCAGTTGTTAGAACAAAAAATGTGTTTTGCCAGCACATAGTGATTTATGTCTTGCAGCTTTGTTCTCTGTAGCAATGCCCTCAATTAATTTTCCAAAGCAGATAATATAACTTGTTCGTGGCAGAAAATGTTGAAACTGGAAAGACAAGAACCTGGAATTAGATAACATTCTAAAAAGTTGAAAAAGCCTCATACAAGAGTTTCAGTTCTATATTTACAACAGTGAAAGTTGTGTTATTAGAGTGTTGAAAGTTGTTACTTTAATTCTCAGTTGTTTCTTTAGTTTATTTTGAATAAGTTTGTAATTACATCTCTTCTATTATTTGTTTCATGAATATGAAGGCTTCATATAAAAGGTTTCATATAAAAGGTATACTGTGATTTCCTAGACCAAAAACTGGAAAAAATGTGTAGGACAGTGAAGTCGACCCTGCCGGCAATCAGAAAACAGAGAACTTTTGTTCCTCAAGTGCTTTCTCTTAGTTGTGATGGAGGGGAAATAGCAAACTGTAACCACGATTCCTATTGCAATGAATGAAATCATGATTGTAATGCCCGTTTGTTACACTGAATCAATCACTCCATGCACTTAACCTGCCTTAGGTTATTTATGTTAACTTGTGCAGACTGTGTGTACGGCTGAGGGCCACATATACTCAGCTGCTATGAAGTTATTGAACTACGGTTTGAGCAGTCAAGAACTGTCTTCTTATATCATTGATAGATGATTCAACCCAATCCTTTTGAAAGATAAGGATAGAAAAATGATAATGAAGACAGATGTAGTCCTCCCAGGATATTACAGAGGTGGAATCTAAACTAGTAAAGAGTTTGTCTTAATACAGTTACAAAAAATTATTATAAGACACAGAGACTAAAGTAAAGCAGTTAAACCCATGCAAAGCAGATGTATAATAGTTCGTGAGAAAACAGTTTCATATTTATAGAATAATAATTTCAGGAAATGATTGCCACATATGATGTTATTTAGATGCACATTTTCTTATTAAATCAAGATTTCTCTCTCCTCTGAGTTTTTCTTAGCACTACAAAATCATAAAATACAACTGAATAAATCCCCCCAAATTGTTGTTCTTATTTTAATGCCTCCAGGTAGTGCATTAACATATCATCCATTCCTGGCTGAAGTAATTCAGATTTCAATAATGCGGCTGTTTCCAGACCCCGTGTTGGTTTACAAGGAACTCAAGATTTATCTGTCTGCCAAGACAATTTTTTTGAATATAAACTGTAAAAGGAGCTGCGGTGAGATGGGCCCCTGTGTGATGCATTCAGTCTCTTCCCATGCTTGAGACTTATCATCTGTTTTCTGCCTACAGCTTCAGAGAGAGAAAAGGGGATGATAAGCCAAGCAAATTACCCTTCGGAAAATTATGTACTGAAGGAAAGAAAAGAGCAAGAGCAAAACATAGCTTTTGGTGTTTTACACTTTGTTCTTCTGATGAAGGGTGCTGTTAGAAAATACATTTGACTCCACTGGTAAGATTCAGTCACAGGAGTCAAAAATGACAAGGACAGGGAATAGAGAAAATATCCTCTGAAAAATCTGTGAAAATGTGAAGAATTACTTTTCTTCAAACTTCAAAAGAAGCAGAAAGTTTTATATTTAACATCGCTATCATACTACAAGACCATATGGAGGAAATAAGATAAAATCCACTGATATCTTTTCATAGTGCATGTCCTGCTTGGGAATGTTATACTCATTTGCCTGATTCTGTCACTTCATATTAATACTAACCATGTTTAATGACGGAGTCATGCATTCACGTCTCATTTTAGTGTTGGGTCGTTCCTTCGGTATAATATTTATCAAGCAGTTGCATATTTAGAATTCAAACTAAGTTTCTGTCTGTACATGACTGAGCGTTATACGTAAAAGGCTTAGGTGAATGAAGGAACCTATCCAAGATTACAACCAATTCAAAATGTATCAGCCCCTATTCATCTTGTGACATCTTCACTGTATATCCACAGATCACCAAGAGAAGGAAGAAAAAACGTCCCCTTTCTGACACATATTCTCTCAAAAGCGTTATTTTCTGAATAGCGATGTTTAGTAATAATTGAAAGTCGTATGTTTTAATGTAGTGTGGTGGGTTGACCTTGGCTGGCTGCCAGACCCTCACCCAGCTGCGCTCTCATTCCCCCTCCTCAAGAGTTTAGGGGAGAAAGTAACATGGAAAAGCTCTTGGGTTGAGATAAAGACAGGCAGATTGCTTACCAATTATCAACACAGGCAAAACAGACTTGACTTGAAAATTATTTTAATTTATTGCCTATTAAAATGCAGTTGGATGGTTAGACACAAAGACAGAACCCCAAACACCTTCCCCTGCTCCCCGCCCCTTCTTCCCAGGCTCAACTTCACTCCTTCGTTCCCAACTCCTCCACCTCCGCCCAGCACAAGTGGCGCAGGGATATGAGGAACTGGGGGTTGCGGTTGTAGGGCCTCCATCTTCAGTAAACTTTGTATCATTCGTATATGATCTCATAAAACTCCTTCCATGTTGTTCACAGTTGTGTACTTCCACCTCACAGTCATGTGGAATGTTTTATTTCTTACATGCAAACAGGTATAAGAAAAACATGTAATATTTTAAAATAATTAGAATATCAAAACCAAAATGAATGTACACTACAATGTAAATAGCAAGCTCTCTGAATGCTACCAGTGTAGACAAGGTTTGGCATATTTTGCTCTGCAGACATAATAAATGGAAAAATACATGAGTAAAGGTCTGACCTTACTGAAGCAAATGGCAGACACTGTGATTTAAGTGGAGCCGAGTTTTCACACATTATTATTCCATAGCAAACTTTTATCATCAATGTGGTTTTATCAATGTGGTTTATGTGCATGTATGCATATTTATGATTTTCTCAAGTGATTCTGACTTAGACACGTACCAGCTCAGCCCTGTGGGTTTTGGTCATTGACCTCGCTAGATCAGTTATATTTCTGACATGAAAATTCTTGTTGGAATTGCAAAACAGCTTAGGCTAGAAACATGGTAATAGCTATTATTCCCAGATAATATTATTCCCAAATTGAAAATATTGTTGCAAAAAACCTATTGTGTGCTCTCATATTTAGCTCTCAAAACAGCTTGTGTTGATTCTGGTATTGGAAATACCCATTTTAAGTTGCAGAACTGCCAAATGAATGTAAAATTTCAGGACTTATGTAATGTGTGTAATTGGTAGGCCACTGTTGTGTAGTTCCAGTCTTATTTAGTGTAATCTTTTAAACCATCTTTGTCATACTATGTCATTTATCCTGAAGTGTTTAGAATCTAAAATTTGAACTATTTACAGTGACGATTTGTCTTAGCTGAAATGCAGCAGTCTCTGGGCAAACTGTTAACAGCAATATAACAATACTACATTTTTTCAGATAAGTGGTAATGTATCCAACCAAAACTGCAGAGGAGCTCAGAATCACGGGCATGTTCGCCAAAGTTGTAGAATGATAAAGTGAGGAAGGTTAATACTTTTTTTTATAAGATAACGCCATGACTTTCTTAACAGACCTCTTGTCACTATTGGAAATGCATATCAAGCCAACAATGCCATACCTATGAGTACTCCCACCTGTGTGTACATTGAGGTATTGGGATTTGACTCAATGGGTAGAATACCACCACTGTGATTATTTCACACGTTCCTCTCACCATATAAACTTATACTTTGTTTTGTTTTCCATCTAAGTAATGACAACTACCACGTTGTTTCAGAGGGTTGAGATAATTGCAGGACAAGAAAGTAGTAGTTTAAGAGATAGCATTTTGTTAACATATTAAAACTGATTGTAGGATTGGCCCACTGAAAATTTTTATAGAAAAAATGCTGCCAATGTGGGGTTGCTTAAAAAAAAGAAACCCAAAAGTATTTTCCAATCCTGCCATGCTTTGCCTCTCTTTGACTAAGCATTTGGCTTACTTTATAAGATGTTGTATTCGGTACAGTTTCACTTCCGATAATTACTACCAACCTCCTTAACCAATGTGAAGAGCGCCTTCCTTCCCCGCTCCCTCTGTTCTTGTGACAAGACTAACCTCAGCTGTGCAGGGGTTGGTGGCATTTGCATGTGGAAATGCACTAATATGGATGTTTTTCTTTGTGTGTGCATCCTTGCAGTGTTGTATACCAGGATGGATTTTATGGTGCAGACATTTATGTAAGTATTCATTGATGTGCATGCTGTCCTTGTACATTACCAGAGTCATTCTTTTTACAAGTTTGCTGCCTAGCTTGACTCTGTTTTGTCTATTTACCATCCCTTGCCTGTCAGAAAGAATTGAGAAGAATATCTCTCACATTGGAAGACCTTTCTGTTCATTACATCTATCATTGTTCAGTGGAGCTGAATTAACTCTTCAATCAAATGCTGAATGAATGCAGAAGATGTGAAAAACGTGTGTGCGTGTGTGGAGGGGCGTCTCCCTTCAAAATTGAAGTTCAAAGAAAATATAAAAATAAAGCAGAAACATTCTTCTGCAAGTCCCTAAAAGCTCGTTTTTAAAAATCAAGGCAAGCTGAGTATTATTAATACCTGAAGTATGCAAATACTTTGCGGAGAGATACAGATTTCCCAAATCCAGGCAACACTGGGTATACGTAAATCCCATGGGGACAGTAGAGCTTAATTACATAGTAAGTTTAAGATATGGCTATGTATTTTCTGTAATCCAAGTAGACTTCCATCTGCTCTTTTAAAATCCACTTATTTCAATTTAAATGAAATGGGTAGACACTGCTCATGATGTAAGGAATGGTTATATTTGTTAGTAAGGATTTATAGCCCTGGATCCATCATTACCTACTTCACCTCATTGGTCACCAATTTCCTTTTAAAGAATATTTTTTTAAGTTTCTTACCAATACTGAAGTTTTTACCTTGAATGTATACAAAGAGACTACTTATGTCTGAGTATGCAAGAGAGGTTTCAGGTGGTTGAGGCTGAATTTCACTCTTCTAAAATAATTAATTTTTATATCCTATGCTCACAGGCTTTTTTTTAAAATATGTAGATGTAAACTATGTCACTGATACTCCAGTAATCTTTCACATTTGTTATTATTTTAATAAAGCAATCTGGACCTAAATTACAGGTATCATCTTTATTTCAGCCGATAACTTTCTCTAACCTACTTGTACTTCTGTTGTACTGTCTCTGTTGAGATACCAAGAGATGGATGAGTTGAAATTGGTATGAATATTAAAAATTCAATAGGTAGTGCTAGAAAACATTCCTTGTATTCATTATCAGCAATCTTTTAGAACTATTTCCACAGGAACAGATTTTTTTAAAATAAGTTTTATATAAAGAAGGAAAGCAATTTGAATTTATGGATGAAGTAGGTTTTGTTTTTCTGATAGGGGAAGAAAGAGGCTGACACTTATCTGAAAATTCATTTGTGTAGTTTAAAAATATATTTAAAATAAATTAGCATGGATTAAAATTCTCTCCCTATGTACTTATGTACTTAGTGATGTTATCAGTAACATATTGTTTACAACACATGAGAATCACCCATTTGCCAAAGGCTTACTCAAGTGTAGTGTGCTGCTTTAATCTCACCTAAACACATTGCTGCTGAATTTTTGAGCTATATAAGATACGAGGTACAGTGTGGAATTTCCTCAAGTGTGGTTTCCAATTTTCATATTTTTTCAAACTGTCAAAAGAATGTGACATCGATTTTGCTCAGTTTACCAACCCGAAAATCTGAAAGGCAACAAAACATCTTTCTCAGGATTGCTTAATGTGATAGTATAGGTGGGAACTAAATGTTAATGTAACAGTTCATAGTCTTGGAACCCACTGTTGCTGAAAAACAGGAATATCTCTTTTGGTGATTGACAATATTGTTTTTAGGTGGCCTCACACCCTCTCACAGACTTTTAACATTTTGTTTCCAAATGGAAAGTGATTTCAATGAGGAAGATACTGAAGAAATTACTAATTTCTAGTATAGCTTCAGTTTTGTTGTCTGGAATAGTCATGTGCATTAGAATATGGAATAACTATACTGGTCATTGTTTTTCACTCAGTTGCAGCCTTGTATTTCTGATTGCATTTCTTAGTTCTCTTAATGCACCAGAATGTTTACCTTTACAGCAGTTGACAGAATTAAAACACTCTTCTGGAAATTTATTTAATTTTTTTTATAATGTACAAAGCTTCTTATTTTATAATTCATTTTTCTTCATGTTTGTTCTTTCTTGCATATAAAAGATTTTGCAGGGGAGGGAGAGAGAGATAGAGAACTGGCATAAATCAAAAGAAACCCTACAATTCACAGTGTATTTGTTCTTAGTGTATTAGTTTGCAGTGGACCAAGTTATTTATTAAATCCCAATTGATTATGACATAGTTCTACTCAGCTTTTCATTTTAAGTGCTGAGCTGAAGCTTTGTGAAAGAACAAATGCTTTGTGGAAAAAAAGGAGGAAAAAAATTTAAACAATATAGGTTTTAATAGTAGACTGGAGAGAAAGGAACCTTAAAAATACCACAGAAAGCAAAACAAAAGGAACACAGTACTGAAAAGCCAGACCAAAAATATGCATTAACAAGTATATCAAAGTGAGTTTCATTCTGATATGATTACACTGAGTACCAACAATAATATGGACCATGCCAATCTTCTCATAACTAGCTATCAATTTGATGGCTAGATTTTGTGGAAAGGAAGGAGGGAGGACACAGAAAGATACTGGTTGGGTGAAAACTGCAGGGTAAACCAAGAACAGCAAATAGCCAGAGTTGCTTAATACTGACTAGAGGAATAGAAGAGAATAGGAATATAAAAATGGGTGGAAAGTACGGTCTAAAATGAAAAATCTATGATTCTAGATGTAATATAATATATTCTGTATTTCATATAGTCCTATATGAAATGTAATAATGCCTCTGAAATAGCTGAGCTATTGAATTCCTTTTTAAATGTGCCTTTGAGTAGGAAAAATAAAGGAGATGATTAGGAAGTAAGGAAGACCTTTTAAAATTACGTATTGATTCACTAAGAGAAAAAGTCATTAAAAGAGAATTAAGGTTGCCTTCCAGCAAATATAGAAGTTCCTAGATGAAGATTGACACTTGTGAAAATAAGAAAATACACTCCATAAAATGAAGCAAAAATAGTAACAGGCGCAGAAATATGCAGTTAGAATAATAGCTCTACACTACTGCTCTGCTTTATCTGAAATCTTTTATTTTTTTACCATTGTCATAAAGAATGTTTTCAGAACATGTCAGTCTTCAATCCACACCTAAAATGTGGGAAGGCTAAGAAAGATGAGAAACTTCCAAACTCTGTCATCACCAGCTTCAGAAGTCCCTTGGCAATACGGTTTAACCATGTGCATTCGTCAGTCTTATTGTTCACAGCAAGATTTTCTAACCTGTTCTCAGGATTCTGAACCTGTCATACTGCAGCTGGTGAGAGTCCACGACAACGTATAAGTACATAGGTTTGAGGCTTTTTTCTGAGCTGCTGATCAAGAATAAGGCATACTTTGTGATCAGGGGTGAATTATCAGGTGGAACGAGATTATCAATAGCTACTGCCATCTCCTTTAGCTCGAAGGTATGATGGTATTGAGGATGGAACATGTATTTATTTCCCAAGGAAAAAGCAGATATAATTATCTAAGCAACGTTCCCTTGGTACTAGGTAGAAGTCCATCGATGCAATCAGATATCCTGAAAGGCACTGTTCTAGTGTGAACAGCAAGGATATGCAGTTAGCACTGAAGTCTTCCTTTTAAGAACCAAAGATTTTTGTGTTTTTAAATGGAGGGATGTGTCTTTTCATCTCTCTGATCTTTATTTGTGATATAAACACTACATTCAAAAAAATGCTCGATCACTCCTGGTGATTGTATTTGGTTGGAATGAATGCAGGTGGTGTCAGTTTGGATACATTACCAAGAGCTTCTCTGAGGCAACAGGTACCTCTGGGAGCACAATATAGAAATAACATGAACCTTTCACATAGGTCTGTTCCAGAAGTTGAGCCAGCACAAAGGGGTGGTGGATATTTTCTTTTTAATTCTCCCAGTCAAAGTTTTACTCCGTGAGCAGAACAAATACTGTTTAAACCTCAATATCATATGAGTGGAGGAAGAGGAAATGACTGCTACAACTTTTTATATTCTACAGGGCTGGGTATAATTCATGCCATTTTTTAATCCCATTTCTCTAATTTTAGCTAATAAGGCAGCTATAATTCTCAACACTAGAGAAGGTTTTGAACCTTGATTAATTTATGTTCACAAAATACTTTGAGATCCTTGAGTGAAAGGAAGTATAGGAAGTAAAAATTGAGGAAAAATAATTATCAACATTCACATAAAATGTTAGTAATAGGAAAAACTAACATTTAGAGTCACTTAGTTTTTCTGTATCTACAGTAAACACTGTCAGTACATCTGAGATCAAGATAAAAAGTAATTTAGGTATTTTAGGAGGAGGTGCACACATGTATACATGGTTTTGTAATCTATAGATGTGCGTTTGTATAACTCATTTTTGCGGAAATTATTCTTACTGCAGATATACACATTTTCTTTAAAAATTCAGATGCATTTGATTTTCCATTCATTTCCATTTTTTCATATCTTATCTAAAAATTCTGCGATTTTTTTCTAAAATTGCTTAAGATTTCTCTGTAACAATTGGCTACTGATCTTCCACGGATCCCACAGCTCTTTTTCAATTTGCCTGAGCCACAGAGATGTATAAAACATTGAAAGGAAAATTGTAATGAGTGGCTTTGGGGAATTTGTCTAAATTCCTTCCTTACATGTTTCTTTCCATCCTTCTTTCCTTACTCATTCAAATCATTACATTTCTCTTTCTTTATAGAGCAGTATTGCAAGAGCCTGTGTATGGCAATAAGTTACCTCAGGTATGACATGCTGACTGATGGACAAAAATCATTGTGCTGAATGTAGACTCTTGTAAAATCATACTAATACTTAAATAGTTATGTGAGAAAATGGATTTTGTGTGTATAAATGATAAGAATAGGCTACAAGTTGCATTTTATTTTCCAGATTCTATCACAAAATCACAGAAATTCTTCATATCCCATGAAATTCAACAGTTACTGTTGTGAGCATCCCATTCAGTATTTTATGCCAATGAGATATATCTCTATATATGGACTGTGAGAATATTGGCTCTATACTTAATTTTTTAAGACAACTTAAGCTGCTGTAACATTGTGTTATCATTCTTTTGGAAGTAGCAAATATGGGAGCACAGATAAGGCAGTAGGCATTTTTAAATTATTTTAGCTGAATTTTCAAAATAGTAACTTAAAGCATAACAGTCAGGTACTTTCTGTTTGAATGTACTTAGTGAGGGGAAAAAAAGCATTCCCAAAACATTTCTAAAACATAGGAACTGAAAATTGTTATTTATTATTATGTAATTATTACATAATTTTGTTATAAATATTTTATTTTGCAATATAGTCTAAGGCATGAAGATAAATATTTAATATGTTACTCAAGAGATGTATATTACTAGCGTATTCTTCATCTAAGATATCAGCCAAGTTCAAAATTAGAGAAAGATTGTGAAGTAGAACTTGCCACAGGAGTTTAGAGTTCAGGGGTTTGAATCAGATTCCCATCCTGATTCCCAGTATAAAATGTACCTTCAAGTATTTTGTTGTTGTAATGATAAATCATCTGAAGTAACCGAAGAAAAACAATAAGAAAACTTAGTACCACACCGAAACTGCAGAACACAAACCCCATAAAAATAATTTGCTTAAGAATGATTTTATGTGTGTCTATATGATAGCTTCTGTTAAAGATATGAAATCATGACACAGGCTGTGGGGAGCTATGATTTTCCCGATAACCAAATGCGTCCTGCATTTTAGATCTCCAAAGAACTCGGGCAAATTCAATAACTTCGATCTCTTTTTATTTTTATTGCTTTAGACTCAGTCTTTCCAGGACTCTCACAGATTTCACACTGATTGTTGAATCCAAAGCTGCTTAATAAAGTTCAGAGTTGAGCTTCATTGTTCAGCAGCAATTCTTTGATGAAAGCAAATCAAAATGTAAGCATAAAAGGAATGTAACTCTTGTATTTAGGGAGCAAGAAAGGGTCCATCTTCACAGACTGACCAATTTTTAGTGACAGTTAAATAAAGGAAAGAAAAACAATCCCCACAGAGCCTACCATCTGCAGATTTAAGACCAACCACTATGTGAACAGCCTGTCTCATTTTTGTCTGATTAAGAACATTGAAACATTGATACTTCTCATGGTGGCCCATTCTCAATTCTGTACCATGGTGGGAGTCGTTATGTGCATAGTTGGATTGAAGTGAGGTGGCTCTCACATTTAAATAGGGGGTTTTAGAAATGGACTAGAGGGCAAGCAAAGGAGTCATACATGTAGCGAACAGAATCATGTCATGCTGCAGAACGACTTGCAGTCTGCCACACGTTTTCAGGACTGGATCATGAAAACAAGTTTAATATCTTCTTTATAGTTTTACCATTTGTACTCCCTTGTATCAGCACTCAGGGAAAAAAAAGAAAAAAAAAAAAAGAAAAAAAAAAGGTGCTATGTTTAGCACTCAAAAAAACAGGAGGGGAGAACAGATAAATTTGTATAATCTCTCATCTTTCTCCTTGTAGCGGAAGCCAGACCAAGTGCGCAGCTTGCATTATCATCTCTCAGCCTCACTGTTTACTGGCTCAGTTTGCACTTGGTGACATTATTTGACATCCGATTGCCTGTATGCACATACCTGCAGGCAATATGCGCCTATTATACATTTTTGACAGTAGTAGCCTTCTATTGGTTTATAAAAATCAAATGATCCGAAATGAGAAAGTATTTCATCTCAACGCTTCTGTGCTTGCACAGAGAAGCAGCTTGCTGCAAAAGAGACAGCATCATATATGGTGGTGTGAAAGTACCTGCCTCGTGGCAGGGCTTGTGCGACACGACTGCTGCGGGCAGGGAGCTGACCAGGGGCGGGGAGGTCAAGGTACCATTCTGTGTGAGCGCTTGAGAAAGCCAGAAAGAATATTCCTCCAGTAAATTGACAATTCAAAGCCTGGACTTTCTAACGAGCTGTCAGTATATGTAAAACCTGTGTTTATTCTTAGGGTGATGTGGCGTTATCAGCTGAATGATTGATTTCCAAAACCAACCTGCTTCAAATCTTTGAACCAAAAAAGGTTTACACCTGTTAGGGATGAAAGCGATTCCACCAAGCAAAGTAGTAGAAGGGGAAATAGCTTGTAAAAGTAGTTGAAATTGCTTTTCTGAAAAGAGTGGATTTTTATTTGTAAAATCAAAATAGAAAACCCACAAAAGTTCCTGCAGTAAAAATGTACTACTGTTACAGTAAAGGTTGACACATCGTGGCCTATTCTTCATGCTTCAGCATAATATCTTGTGTGAATGCAGCCTTCCAAAAAAAAAAAAAAAAAATCAATCCATTAAAGCGAACACTTTAGCAAAAGGGTGAATTTTATTCAAAGCTGAGTGATCTGATACTGCCTTATTCGACTTTGTTAAGGTGGGGGTAAGTGGGAAAGGAAATACAAAAGTCCCCTGTCCCAGTGGATTATGGGGTGGTGAATTCTAATTGGGAGGTAAATCGTGTTTGTGTTATCTGTGGAGACTGGCCTCTGTTAATTGGCATGCTGAGATCATTTTGAAATGGTTGATATAACACCGTGGTCCATTGAACAGGAAGCTCTGCTGTTTTCACAGTTTGATAATCAATGCATCACTGCACACAATTCCTTTCAAATGTGTGTTTGTTTGTCCTGTTTGCTTAATTGAACAGCTGCAATTAATGTTACATACAACTGAATGTTAATTCATGGAAGAAGAGAATTTTGCTTCTTCATTATAATTTTATGTATAAATTGGAAACCTATGTAACATTAAGTGTTAACTGAGTGCACAAATTCGTAGGTTTAATCAACCAGACGTGATAAATCGTATTTTGTACGAAAAAGAATTGATTATTAGCTGAGTTTTTCTTTTAAATTCAGCATCGCTTTATTAATATGCATACACCTCATTCACAAGAACAACAATTGCTACTTGAAAACTTGTGAAAGAATACAGTATTGTCTTGTAAAAAAACTAACGTTGGTGAATACAGTTCATTGCTTTCTCCTGATCTCTGGGACAGATCTTAACAAGTTTGTGGTGATAAATTTTGCTTAACGATTCACTGAAATATTTCCTATGTATTTAACCCCTTAACTGAACTTACAGCATGACAGTACTCTTTCAGTTGTTGCTAAATTTTGCAAAATGTTATTTAAGGTGCTGTAGCAATCCAGTTAGAGCCTGAGTTTGTGTTTCAGGGTGGTTATGCTGCCTACCGGTATGCCCAGCCTGCCACTGCCACTGCAGCTGCCTACAGTGACAGGTAAGACCTCATTTACTGCTAATAAATATTTGACCAGTGGAAGCTGAAGATGATTCTATAAATTTGCCTTGTTGAAGTCTCATAACTGTCTTGTTGCTCTGCAGATAATTGTGATATCTAAAGCAGACTGTTTTATTATAATCCATGAATAGCCATAAATTGAGAGATTTTAGGCCTTAATTGAGAATCAGGCATGAGATGTGCACATTCCCAAGCTGTAGATCATCTAGTTAATGTCTGTGACCCTTGTACTGTGTAGATAAATATATGTACAGCTTCATGATGGTCTGCTACTAAAGATCATTATTCGTCTTAGGAGTATTATTTCAGCTGATTTAGAACCTGAACCTATTGAGTGCCCTCAGTTCTCATTGACGTTGTTTTAGTCAGTGGAAACTGAGAATGAACTGTGTCTAAGCTTGAACTTAGGAAGCTTTTCCAAGGAAAAACAATATTTCTTCCATTTGCTTTCTTTCCAGGCATTTGATTTTTTTGAAACACTGAAAAAAATTCAGTTATTCTTCTTTTGCTCTGTATTTTTATCCTCAAAATGTAAACTGCATTTGGTGAAAATAATACCAGGAATAAAAGATTATTAAAATCTGCATAACGGAAACATGCAAAGACTTAACTTCTATAAACTAAAAGCCATGTCACATAAATTAATTTGTCTTCTTGCAAGGTGAAAATTGGGACCCCTTTGAAGCTAATGTCTAAATTGCTATTGACTTCAGTAGGAATAGGATTTTGTCAAATTGCATAAAATTAAGTCTTTGCAGTGTGTGGACATGATTTTGAATGAAAAGAAAGAATATCCTATGTTTTCTTCATAAACTGTACCCTTAAGAAAATCTATGCTATCTTTAATACTTTTCAAGTACTTGAAGAGTGTACAGTCGTAAAGGGAGGATGTATATTGTGAAAGACACATGCATATATTTGCTTCACAATAGCAGTGAGAAGTAAGGTCACACTTCTCAATTCCTGATATAAGAAAATTTTCCCTTGGGATCATGGAGATAATTTCTTAAGTCTTGAATATGTATTGAAAAATTTCTTTAGATGCTAAATTAGACATTGTTTTAAATGTTTCTGTTTCTTAAAGAAATCAACAGATTAAGAAATTTCAGTGAACTATTTCTTAGATTGAAGTGCTGTTCATGGATTCTGTATTTTTAGAACAAAGTACCATGGTATGAATGTTACAATGCTATGCATGCTTATTTGCCTTTTAAATGCTTATTCTGGGTAATGAAGATATACTTTTAAAAGTTATGTGAATAAAATAATTTGCATGTGTGGCTGAGGCATGCTGTGTCAGACAGGTAAGCAAGTTACTTTCTATTAATTTTGGATCAGTAATATCAACTAGATATGTGCTGTACGCACTTTGTTCGCGATGTACTATTTCTACTTAGGGTAACCTACAAAGGTGAAGTGCTACTCAGTAGTTTCATTTCATTTCCACAAAGGTGTGTTAGCATGTCGCAGCTCTAGTATTTTTCTGTGAGCTTATAACGCAAAACAATTCCTGCTTCTAAAAACTTACTAAACTGAAAGGACAAAATTATAAATAACCTCCTGTGGTTAGTCATTTTTTGCCAGATATCATTCAGGTGTCCCTGGATCATTTTATAGGGTGTTTATTCCTATGAATAAATGAATTTCTGAAAACCTCTACGTTACATAGAGAAACTGAACAATATCAAGATGACTTTTAAATACTTTAATTATGAATTAATGTACCTTCTCATAAACCAAACCAAATGCTGTGATAAAACATCAGTTTATCACATATTCTGCTATGGGTAGAGAGTCAACATCACTAAGAGTTATGCTGACAAAAAAAGTAAAGGATTTGTCTAAGATGATAGTGCTCTTAAAGGCTGTAAAGGAAGCTTGAGATGGCATCAGTAATAATGCAGTTGTTACAACCCTTAATTATTTTTTTGAAAAAATGTCTAATTTTCAGATACACTTTGTGTATAATTAGAATTGTAATAACCTGTCTTTTCTTGCATAATTTTAAGTATCTTAAATTAATTTTATATCTTTGGATTTTTTTTAATTTAGCTTCTCTTTTTAAATGTGGTTAACCCTCATCTTCGATCTGCTTCCCCCAAAAGAATATGGTTTCTTGTCTTAATTACAAATATTGTAGCTGAATTTCTTTATGGGAGAACCCTAAAACTAGCATAGAGAACAAAACAAATAACAATCTGCTCAAACATTTCTCTGCATATGGGAAACTATGTACAAACATGGATACCTCTGATTACTCACAGCTACAGTTTGCTTAATTTAACTTTTCATTCATTTTTTAATGAATTTAATTGAGCAACTTTTATGAATTACTAATATTGAAAGTGCTGAAATATAGTTCAGTACAACTGCTTGTCTTTTCTCCTCAATGTAATAATCATCTGCTGTCCTCTGACAATATTGAAGATTCCATATCTCCTTATACTACTCTTATTTATTGTTGATTTGAGCCCCTATTTAATTTAATTACACATGAAATATATTTATTGTGTATGTGTAAACAATGCCCAGAAAAATGAAGTGAGTATGTACTATTGAAGCAGTGACATATCGTGGAAATACTACTTCATATTCATTTAAAAAAATTTAAAAAGCTTTATTTTTTTTATCACAGCTCATATACATGATGAATGGCAATGTTCCATGTTTGACATGCTTCTTAAGTCAGGAGATGGAAAGAGGAAATCTTTAGATTGGAGACGTTTTGGTAAATTAAAAATAAAGGTTAACAGAAAGATTTGAGACTCCAGAATCAATACACCAAGTCAATGGATAATGATCACTGTAAGAGAGCTCTATTGTGAAAAAATGCAATGGTATCCTTGTTTGTCACAGCTGGAAATATTGCTGGAAATAGGCAAAGAACAGATATATAGGGGAGAATCAGGTGGCAAGGAAATCTCATGAAACAAATCAACACAAAGCCCTAAGTATTTCTTAAGACAAATCACGTACTCGTAAAAACAATTTCACGATGGAGGTAGACCTTGCAGATTTCTCCAGTCATTTCTTAGAAGTGTAAAACAAAAACAACAAAGCAAACAAAGAGAAAGGTACAGTTTTTTTTTTTTAATTTATGAAGCAATATAATCACTGAATACAACCTCAAAAAAATTTAGAATTGGATTTTTATACTGTGTGATCTATCATCACACTAAATTGCACTTAAAGATTTGAAGCTTTTTGCAGAAGTGGATCAAAAAAAATCATGTTTATCTTTCCAATATTTAAAATATTTCTGATAATTTTTCCAATTTTTATAACTGGTAAAAGGGGACCTACTGATCTATATATGTTCTTCACATAGGAGCTTTGCCTGCCAAACTCTTTAAACCGAGAGTGTTTGGAAAAAATAATTGTAAGGACATGCAAAAGATACTAAATCAGATGTCAATAAAATGTTCGTACAGCTTTTAGTCAGCTTTCTTGTAATATTTTCAAAATATAAATAAAAATATAGTTAGATTTCTGTGCAAGTCTGAAGTAATAGAAACTGGCCAAGTCATCAAGTTATATATTTATGAGGTAGAAGAAGTCAAAGCATGGCAGTGGGGCGTATTGTCATTTTGTCATTGCATGTTCACTTGATGTTGCTAGTATGTCTGTAATGCTGTATTGGATTTTACAGATCCATCACATAGCTCAGTGAATGGCTTGCTTGAATTAAGCCTATGGGCAGACTTATTCACATTGATTGGCTATTGGTTTTGTGTTTTATGATTTGATTATTGCATCTTCGATCGGAGTAAGAAAAATGTTCCTTTCTTGCATATTAACTTTGTCAGCAATATTTATGGAAGTGTATATGGTAGTTTAATAAAACAAAACCCCAGTAATAGTAAACTTAGCCTTGTCTGAAAGGCAGAGTCATTTCACTTGTACTGCTTGCTAACCCTGTTGTATTTAATAATGATAATTATGTGTGTTTATATATGTATGATTGTGTATTCATATATATACACACATTCCCCATCCATCATCCACCCACAAACACGCACACACACACACCCGCGCACACGCACACACACACACACATACATATGTACAGAGGTATTTTGCTCTGAAGGTAATTCCCTTTTTCTAATATAGTGTCAAATTTAAATCTCACTAGAAACAATGGGAAGATTCCCATTGACAACTTCTGGATTAGATCCCTCATCACTGGAAGCTGACCTCTTTTTTTCACTGATCTTTTTTAAAAGCAAATAAGGCATATTCCAAAATATTTTGCATGTAACACTTTGTAGTATAAAATATATATTTTTTTCACTATCAGTTTGTGTTACATGTTCTGTGGTCATACGTAGGATTTTGTATGAAATTTGAGAGAGGAGATTTTGTTGTATGGAAGTTGTGTATCTTCCAGATCTGAAATCTTACTCCTGGTAAAATCCTGATATTCTAATAGTTTACATTTGTAACATGCCTATGTGGAGTATCCATTTTTGTCAAAGTAGTGTCTACAGAGATATAACTTAATATATTTTCCAGTTCTCTTTGGGCAAGTAGTAGACAGTAATACTTGATATTTTTGGTCAGATTATCCTAAAATAGAATAGCTACAGATTTGATTTAATTGGAAACATGCTCATTAAAGAATGAAAAATTAGAATGAAGAATAAAAATGCACAAAATACAAAATGTGAGCTTCTGTAGATGGAGGTGACTTTTTTTGTATATTGTAGACTTTAAGATCTTCTATTTTATGAATAAAAAATGAAAACCACTATAGTTTTATTCAAATTATTTTCTCTTATTAAGGATCTTACTAGTGATATATACTAAAAGTTAAGGTTTTGAGAGCATATAAAATATAATAGCATCTTCACTCAGAATTTAATTTCCCATTAAATAATTTTATAGGAGGATAAATATTTTAAAATGTAGTACTTCATTCATTTCATGATTGTACTTTTTAAGATTTAGGAAAAAGAGCTTCTATACACAGTTTTAATTTC